CTGCTGTTAAAACTAGCCTAGAGCGCCATGTGCTGTCTAACCAAGAGCGACATGATATGTTAAAAACAAGCCTAGAGCACCATCTGCTGTTAAAATCTAGCCTAGAGAGAGTCGTCTGCTGTTAAAACTAGCCAAGAGCGCAAGAGCGCTTGGCTACTTTCCTATTAAGAATGGCCAACAAAATTGTATCTGGGTCCAGCCTACTTAGTTGCCCTGAGTCTCACTTGGTCTAACTTAGAGCATCATTTCGGGCTAGGTGGCCTGGTACCATTGCCCAGTATATGACCAGCATTAGGTTATGTCTTACCTGTATCTGCGCCTCAGAATCTCTGAGAGAGATGTTGTGTGAACTGGCTGTGGATCCCGATCGTGGTCTTTTCTCCTGCCGCAGCAGCTCGGGTCCCGCACTAAAGGAATGCCTCATGGGCCCCTGTTCAACCAGCTGTTGGGGCCTCTGCGGTCCGGGCGAGTCCGGGCCTCGTAGGGTCACAGGCTCGCCCCTCTTTTCTCCTGCCTTCACATCTTTGGCAAACATGGTGTGATTGTGCTGCTGCTGCTGCTTGCGTTTCTTGTACTCGATCATCAGTTTGGTAATGGTCTTGTCGGTGGCTATGGTGTACAGCTTGTTTCCAGCACTCTCCCACCATTCCTTCTTGCGGCCCCCGTCCCGCCGCTGGGGAAAGCTTGCGTTTGACCCGCCGGGACTATGAACGTCTTCTGAGGGCGTCTCATCCAGGTTAAGGCGGAAACTGTCTTCTGAAGGAGTCCCGTGGCCAGACAGGCCACCAGTTGAGGGCGTGGAAGTCTCAGAATTAAAAAGGGGCAAGAAAAAGAGTGGGTCAGCACGATGGGTGGGTTGCTCTCCCAAAGTACTCTCCAGGTCCAGGTGCATCTGGATGTAGTTGTTGCACAAGTCCATGCAGAGTTTGTGCAGACGTTTTACCAGCCAGGCCCAGTCGGCACTGCTGGCGGGCTGCGTGCTCAGAGATGGGATACGCGTGTGCCACTGACGTTTCTCTCGGGCACGTGGAGGACTCACTTGAGCCATTTCTTCAAATATATCCTCGTCCTCGGAGGAGCACTGCTGAGAGGAGTCTGATCCGCCCTCCTCTTCCTCACTCAGGATCTTCTTCACCTGCTCCACGCTCATGTTCTCCTGGTTTGTCAGCATTGCACAAAGCAGAGCCTGAACGCCATACAGGAAAATAGATTGAGATGATGCATCATGAACCTAGGGTTGATATGATACTGGAATTCGGTACCAATCCATTCTGTAATTTTAAAAATGTCCATCTCCCGCTCACATTTGAGCACTGTTGAGTGTGTTCTTAAACAGCGCTGATTTGCCATTGTGTTCACATGCTTAACAGAAATGACTGTGATTCGCTGTGAAGGTTGTCAGTTCACCAAACTCACCACTGTTTACTGAATGTGACCACAGATACAGGGACACTGGAGCGTTTTAAAGCCACGAAGATCGTCTGGTTTGTCTATAAGCTGACATACGAGTGATACACTGATGAATCATGGCTTTAAAATGCTCCAGTGTCTCTGTATCCGTGCACTTTTTTAACCTTTGCTTCAGGATGGATGTATACCACAGTAATAAAAAGTTGGGGGAATTCCCTGGGTAAATAGTATGGTCGAAAGAAGACACACAACAGTTCGATGTCTGGAGTAGACAAACCTTCTCTAACCTTACTGGCGGCACCAATTCTTCCGAACAAGAAGGCATACTCCACCTCCACGAGACTTCCTGGTGATGAAGGGATCCTTGTTAGTCCTAAATGATGCAAAGCCAGCAGGTTTCACCTCGCTGGAAGTGATGTTGTGTCTAGCCATGTCCCGGTGATTGCAAGGATACAGGAATTCCTGTACTTATACCTCACAGGTATCAGCTAACAAGGATTCACAAAGGATTGCCCATTGATGAGAAGGGTTGTAGGCAGACAAAGTTTGTTTTCCTCTCTCAGTCATCTCAAACAGTGACGGAGGCCTGCTCTACTGGCTCGTTTGTGCTTGTTATGCGCTTTATTGCCCCTCTGGTTTGATTTAAGATAGTCCGGAATCATCATATCCACAGCTGTAGAACACTCTGATAACACAAAGTCACGAAGTGAAGTTTATTTATAAACTAATTTCGAGAGGATCACGTGCTTATGATTGCTTGCAGCTGGTCCCGCATTATTCAGTTTATGATTCACCAACCAGACGATTCCTAAGCCACTATAAATACTCTAAGTTCCATTCCATCTTCGTTTTGAAGAATCCACTCTTCCACCCCTACTCCTCCTCCTTTCCTAGATGGGTGGCATGGTGTCCCAGTGGTTAGCACTGTTGCCTCACAGCAAGAACGTCACTGGTTCTAGTCCTTACCAAACCAGTCAACGTTTCTGTGCGGAGTTTACACATTCTCCCCGTGCTCACGTGGGTTTCCCATGGGTTCCACGATTTCCTCAAACCATCCAAAAACATGCAACTTAAGTTAATCGACTAATCCAAATCATCACTATAGATATGCTCCTGATAAGTAGTTATCTCTCAAAAGCAATCACTATCTGTTCATTAAATACTACAGCAGGGGAGTTCTCCAGATCTACCTGAGCTCAAACTCCCTTCCTGCCTTGCAAACGGGAGGGAGCCCTGGGCTCGAGCTCAAGGACCTCAGTGCTCTCTCTCAGGACAGCATTCCAAACAAGCTTTATAATCAATCATCAGCTGAGTGTGAACTCTTGAAACGGTAATAAAAATCCCAGATCATATCGAATTTAATTTACGACAATGCTGCTAGCCTGCTCAGAGTTTAGTCCACAGGAACAATAAATGTTAAAAGTCGACAACAGTAGTCTAATCCAGGGAAGCCACAGAGCAGCGTCACTGGGAGACGCAATGCGTGAAACGCTGTGGGACAGCCACAGAGCAGCTCCACTGGAAATGGCTAACATGGATTTTATTGAGATAATAGCTGTGCCTTATGTGCTTTAGGGTGGCTGAAAAACAGCTTAGATTTGTTTCCGCGCCGTGTCTGAGTCCACTAGATCATTTCAGAGATGCACCAGCTCTGAGTTCATCAACTCCTCCAGAAACTACACCAGGATGATGGAGGCTTTCAGCTGTGCTTCAGACTAAGCCGAGCCCAGTTCAATGAGCTGAGGATTTCCCCTTGGGACACCAACAACAAACACTACGTCATACGTGGCGTGAATGTCCACTGAAGTTCAGATTTTTTCTACTCGTGTCGCTTCATTTGCGCGAATTGCGTCATTCGTGCCTCCTCATTCGCGTGAATCATACCGCAGGATGTCTATTAGCATCTTTACATTGACTTAACATGTAAATCACTTGCACTTGATGCTTCACCCGCGTCTGGTGTGAACGCAGCATAAGAACGCTTAGGCAAATGGACGTTGTTAAAATTATAGTATCGATTGGTACCGAATTCCAGTATTGTGACAACTCTACATAAACCAGTCAAACAAAAAAAAACATAACATTTTCTGTAAAACAACTTTGAAGCAATATGTGTTGCCAAATGTGCTCTGGATATAAACACAAACGGGCGTTTAGATGGTTTAAACGTACCTGAAAGTAGATATTGAAGCTCATGGCAGACTGGCGGTATAAGTTAGCAGCTCCACACACTCCGGACACTTTCATGAGCAGGTACTTCAGGCCAGGACGGGTGTCAAATTCCCGGGCAGTCCGATACGAGTCCAGCAGGAGGTCAAAGATGATGGCCAGGTTCTGCATGGAGATGTAGCGGAGAAATCCTGCAGGTTTTGGCTCCGACACAGCCGTGATTTTGCCCTCAGAACCTTTGACAAACTCCTCTAACAGGATGTCATACAGATTCTGCAGGAGCACCTGATGGGACAGTAAACTCACAACCAGAGTCCTGAACGGGATCCTGCAATTTAAAAAGAAAATGCATTCAGAGTTATTCAGTCAGACTTAAAGCGATTCATTACTGTACGTTCACACCGAAAGCGGCGAGAGTGTCAAAGTACCCGGAAGTCGTTCATTTTCAATGAGAGCCAGCGGCGATAAGCTGCAAGGAGCAGCATGGTGCGTCTTCGCCGGTGTGGGCGTCGAGGAGAGTTGAAATCGAGTCAACTTTATGATAATGAGCTGTGACACGGTTCAGCTGCAAGCAATCAGAATGAAGAAGTCCACCGCTTGAGACGAGTTCAGAGAACACAGATCTGTGAACTCTGATTCTGACCACAGTTGTTCCCAAAGGTTTGATTATTGCGGTCGCCGGATTTTAAATTATTTACAATGTTTTCTTACAGAAACGTGCATGAGGCCTCCTCACAGTGGGACATGCCTGAAACACCTCCCTATGTAGGCGTCCAGGAGGCATCCAAAACAGATGCCCGAGTCACCTCAGCTGACTTCTCTCGACGTGGAGGAGCAGCAGCTCTACTCCGAGCTCCTCCCGGGTGACAGAGCTCAACATTTTTCAAAACATCTTCTTTAGTGTTCAACAGAATACAAGAAACTTACACATGTTTGGAAGTACGTTAGAGTGAGTAAATAGTAAGTTTATTGTCATTTTGGGTGATTTATCACTTTAACCTGGATCTGTCGTTAATTAACAGCCCACTTAATAGAATGTGAAATATTACCCCTAACCTGATTTGACCAAGTAGGACATGTTACTGGATAACACCTATGTTGATTCTGGAACAACATCCCAATCAGCCAATCAGAATTAAGGAATACAGTTTATGTTAAGTTTAGGCTTACACGTTTATGCACTTCTGATTGTTTTCCCCTCTGATTTTAGGAATAATTTACAGCTGTGGTTGGGTTTAGGGGGAGGGAATAGGTATGGATTATCTTTTCCAACAAAAATGATGTTCCAGGATCAACATAGATGTTAATCCAGGATCATCGCATCGTACATGTACTTGGCAAAATCATGACGTGCAAATATTAGTGAAGAACAGTAAGGCATGCAGATTCTGTTTGCGGTGGCCTTACCCGATTTTTCTGTCAAGCACAGCATGAGAAAGAACAAGACACAATACAAGCAAATGTTACTTAATGATTAAAACATGATTTCATTTCGAATCATACGTTATGCTTACATTTATCTAGATACAGCTGAAGTCAGAATTATTAGCCCTCCTGTTAAATTTCAATTCTATTATATTTTTCCCCAATTTTGGTTTAACGGAGAGAAGATTTTCAACATAGTAAAATAATATTAGACTAGATAATTTTCAAGACACTTATGTACAGCTTAAAGTGACATTTAAAGACTTAACTTGGTTAATTATTTTAAAAATAGGGTAATTAGGCAAGTCATTGTATAACAGTGCTTTGTTCTTGAGACAATCCAAAACAAATATTGCTTAAGGGGGCTAATAATATAATATATAGCCAAAATAAAATAAATAAGACGTACTCCAGAAGAAAAAATATTATAGGAAATACTGTACAATCATTTTTTTTATTTGTATTTTAGTATTACTTTTAAATATATTTCTTTGTATTTTTAATAGCAGTTTTTTTAGTGTTATTGACTAGTTTATTTTTTTGTAAAGCACTTTGGATCAACTACGGTTGTGTAGAATTGTGCTCTATAAATAAAGTTTGCCTTGCCTTGCCTTGCCTTACAGTGAAAAATTTCTGAATCTGTTAAACGTCATTTGGGAAATATGTATTTGA